ACCCGGCCGCTCCTCAGCGAGCTCTGGGCCGGCGCGGCTCTGGGCGCGCGTACCCGGCGTTTCCGCTCCTCCCGCAGCCGGGACACAGACGGAGACGGCGGCGGCTGGTCCCGCCTCTGGCTGCGAGGTCCCGGCCCCGCCCCGCCCGCTTGTCGGGCTCCGCCCCGCGGAGTAGCCCGCCCCCGCCGCGCCACAGCCACCGCCTCCTCACCTGGGCGGCGCGCACGCGCGGGGCGGGGGCGCGCGTCGTCCGGCCGTCGCGCCTGGGCGGTAGCGCCTCCTAGGGACAGACTCTGGGATCTCGGGCGTCTGCGTGTCGCTGTAAGACGCTAGGTGGAAACAGCTAAGTGGGCCGCCTTCTGCCCTTGCTTGCTAGGCACAAAAGTAGTTTGTGGAGTTTAGATGAGTGTTATTTGTTATAACTCAGTCATCTTACAATGCGAAGCGCCCTTTTTCTTGTGTCCACGTACCGCCATCCTTGAAGTGATTGTTCAGCTAACATTTTAAGGACACCAGACAGGCCGAGAGCTAAATTCTAAGTGCCTTACAGAACTTGCTGCCCAGCTAGGAGAAGACAAAGCTGCAACATCAAGCAGGTCTTTCGACTTGCGCGTCCCCGGCCAGCCCGGTTCCTAGTCCACTTTCTCTTCCACTCATCTGAACGTGTTATCAGACTTTCCCTTGTATTAATTTTAGTATAATGATGTATCATCTCTCCAGGATTATTGCAGATCATGTCCTCAACTTCTTGGTATCCCTCTGTGGCTTCTGCCAAACAGCTATTGTAGTGCCTGGCACACAGAAATATGAAGTCCTGGTTCCATGGAGTGGAATGAGTTGTAAGTGATCTCCAAATCATAGCTACCTTAAGTGTGCTTGGAATATTTTCGGATGTCATAGAATGTATTTTCTAACGAAAATACAGAGGACATTCTAAGGCATCTGTATCTCCTGTGTTTCCATTAGGACCATGTTCTGCTGCAAAATCTACCAGGAAATCTAGAGGCCTCCAAGGACCTGGCTGGGTTCAGCTCTGGCTGAATTTGAGATGAGTAAACTACACTGAAAGACCTTGCTGAAGGCTGCTCCAGCTGCCAGCAACCCACACTTGCCAAGAGAGAAGAAACTGACTTGAGCACTTTGAAGGGAGCACTTCTGCCTTGGGAAAGGTGTCCCGGTCCCTGGCACAGACAGAACTTTCCAGGTTGCAGCCTGACTACCATCAGCAGCAGCTTTCCTTCTGTGTGGAAGACACCGCTGGCTCACGGTCCTCATTTGTGGACTAAGATCTCTGAGGCAGAGACTTCCCAGGTAGGACTGTCCCATGCTAGAGTCCCTTGCATGGGTTGGGCTATGGTGAAGCAGTCAATTGCAGCGTGTGTGCATTCCTAAAATGTTCCTGCTGCCATATTTTGACATAAGGAGAACTGAATCTCAAAAAGAAAAGGAATAGATTTCAAACTTGGTGCAGTTCAGGATAACCAGGGAACACACCTCAAAGCCCATGGGTAAGTGGATATATTTGTTCCCTGATTTGGGGACTATTGGAAATCAGGGCAGAAATCCCAGGCATGAGGAAAAGAATTATCAAGGCCTGCAGATGATGAGAAAAATATAGAAATTGTCTAAAGGTAGGGAGTCTAGTGGGTGACTGTGTGGTTTTCAAATGGCCAAAGTAAGAAAATGTTATCAGTGTCTTACACAGGAAACCAAAATGTAAAAATACATGCAACACTGTGTGCGAAGTATGTTCTATTAACTATTTTATGAGCCTCAAATTAGTATAAACTCAAGCATTGATGCCAGTGAATCTCTCTTGATGAATTTAAATCTGTCCAGTGAGGCTTACCATTGATTCAAGGTTCTAGTTTACATTTGCATGTTATTTTGGTCGCACGGTATCAAGGACATTTGGATCCACATCATTATTCATAGTTCATCTTAGCCTTTTTTAAGGTCAGTGTACAGCTACAATCGTATTAATCAGTAATATGTCTACACCACATTCAAGCCCACAAGCAGCAATGAGAGGGGAGACCAGCTGCTGCAGTCTGCATTCAAACAAAGTAAACTACAGCAGTGTAGTCTATTTTAAATCTTATTTATAGGGCTGGCCAGATTGCTCAGTGGATTAAAGCACCTGCTTAGGCAGACCCAGGGGCCAGGGGTTTGATCCCCACCTGCTGTGCCAGGCTCACCCCTGGAGTGCACTGAGATGGCAATTGAGACTGGGTGTAGTGGTGTGCACCTATAATCCCAGAACTTGGGAGGCTGCAAACAGGAGAATCACTATGAATCCGATCTGTATAATGAGACCCTGTAGACCCTGTACTAAAAATTTAAAAAGATTAAATCATATTTATAAAATTTGAGTTTATATATGCATATTTTTCTTGTAGTTTAAAATATACTAACCAGGCACAGCAATCCCAGTTACTGGGAAGGCCGAGGAAAGGAGACTGCAGATTGGAGGCCAGCCTGGACTGCCTAGTGAGATCTTGTCTCAAAATAAGTCAGTAAATAATAATAATTAAAATTAAATATGCTAGGGGCTGGTGAGATGGCTCAGTGGTCTAAAGCACCTACTTAGAACAAGCTTAGCAAAGGACAGGGACTGCGGTTCAATCCCCTAGCCCCACATGCCAGCCTGCCCCGCCCCCTGGTGGGCTGAGCTGGCCACACACACACACACAACTAAATAAATAAAATTTTTAAAAAAATTAAATATATTTAAAAAAGTGTAAGCCAGCAATAATAAAACACTGACATTATGAGCTTCTTCATAAAATATTCTGAAAAAAGACACAATATTGCTATCTTGCTAATGACACATAAACTGAATCTAATCGTGAAGGAACCAAAGGAAGATACAATAAGAGGCATCTTACAAAATAATTAATCTATGTTCTTCAAAAACACCTCAGAGTATGAAAAGCAAAGAGGCTGGTCCAGATTCAAGCATACCAAAGAAGCAGGTATGGTGGCACATGCCTGTAATCCTAGCACTCAGGAGGCTGAGGCAGGAGTATTGCTGTGCTGTGAGTTCAAGGCCAGCCTGGACTACATAGTGAGAACTTGTATTAAAAAAAAAAAAAAGAAAGAAAAAAGACCAAAGTGATATCTGAGCTAAAGTCAATGTATAATCTTAGACTGAAGAACCGGAGGATATAAAGGATATTATGAAAACAATTGATAAAAATAGACTATATATGAGATGATACTATAGTATCAATGTTAGTTTTCCTAAATTCAATCATTGTACTGGGATTCTGTAAGAGAATATCCTTGTTCTTAGCAGCTGATGTCTGCTAAAGTATTTAGGAGATACATTTCCAGTTTCTGGGACCAAATACACCCACAACCTAAAGGAAGAAATAGTGTGTTTGGCTCACAGCTTCAGGGGATTTGGTCCATAATAGGCAGGCTCCAACAAAGGAACATTATGGGTGCTGGTGAGATAGCTCAGTGGACTGAAGCACCTGCTTAGATAAGCTTAGGCAAACCCAGGAACCACGGTTAGATCTGGGGCACCACATGCCTTGCCAGCCCTGCCCCAGGGCAGGCTGAGCCGGCCACAGAGTCATCACAGTGTCCAGGCATAGTGGTGTCTGCCTGTAATCCCAGTGCTGGGGAGGCTGAAAAACAGGATCACTATGAGTCTGAGCTGTGTAGTGAGACTCTGTAACAACCAAATACATTAAAGAAGAAACATTATGGTAGAAGGTCTGGGTAAAACAGGTGGCACAGTTCATGGTGGGTGAGAAACAGCTCAGGAGGGGGCCAGGAACTATATATAGTGCCCCAAGATTCTATCTCCATGACCCCGGCCAGAACACCTAGAAGTGTGCTTTGCTAATCCTTTAAGTGGCTCCATACCAATCAAGTCAAAAATTAAACTTAATCATCAGAGGAGAAAGAGGTATGATGTCTCAAACT